GGTCTGCCACCAAGCTGACTCTTCCCAACTCTTTGTTGCGTTTCCATCTTTCCTTGTCCTTTGCTAAATTCTCCTCTCTTCTGTCTGTATTGGCATCTCATCTAGCTCGATATCTTCTTTGTTTCTCAGCAGCTGAGAGTGGCATATCTACAGTAAAAATGTAGGTTATATTAAAAACAATATTGTAATTTAGTCAATAATTACTTTAAAATTAATTAATTCATTCAACCTTTATTTAGACAGGTTAATCCCATGGAGCCTCGAGCACTCATTTACAAGAGAGACCTGAAAAAAATGTATTTATGTATTTATTTATTTGATTATTTCATTAATTCATACATTTATTAAATTGCACTAATTAACTTTTAAAATTACTACTCAATAGTTGCACAATGTCAACTCTGTTACTCTACCTTGGTAAAAGAGTTTGACGGTAACAGAGTTGACAATTTCAAACATTTTTGTTAAAAACTCCACTTGCTAGCATAAATGCTAAAAGAATATGTCACCAACAAAATCATGGTTTAAAAACCTTTAGATAAACATAATTTTTTAAAAATCTATAGTGTTTTTCTTATGGTATGACAGTAACAAGATTGACTTTGAAAAAATATACTCTTGGTTTTAACGCTTTTCATATTGAAATCATTTCTCAGAGAAGGGCAGACATACCTCTGTGTGCTTGAGATCCTATCAATAAAAAGAAGTGACATCATTTCATTAAGTTTATATAGCTGTGGACTGGAATTCCATAAAGTTAAAGGGAAAGAACCACAAGGTAACAGAGTTGACAAAATATTCTCGGACACACATTTTTTTATGAAAAAGTGTGTTTTTAAATTATTTACTGCAATATTGTTGCATAATTGACTATTTAGGCAGGTTAGAAAAAAATAACATTGACAGATTTCAAAAGAAAAATATTGAAAATAAACATTTTTCCATCATATTCCAAGATATAAAAATAAAAAAAACTGTGACCAACTCGGACAACAAGAATTTACGTTTATTGAACTACTTAAAACACATTTAAATGTAATTATATCAATGTTATGAATTGTGACATATTATGATCCATACGAATAACCAAGAAATTATTAAGAGTCAAAAAAATGAAAACATTACAACAAAGCTGACCAAAAATATTGACCCTGGACACCAAATGTATCTCCAATTATAGAATCACCCACATGCGCAGTAAACGGACTGTACTTATATAGCGCATTTCTATCTGATCAAGATACTCAAAGCACTTTACACTACAATCTGTGTCCTCATTTACCCATTCATGCAGCACTCTATTAGATCTCTACAAAGCTAATTCAATTCATTTCAATTCAGTTTATTTATATAGCGCCAAATCACAACAAAGTTGTCTCAGGGCACTTTACAGAAACATTCACATACATAAAAGCCAATCAATAAAGTTCTCTATCTAAGGAATCCAGCAGACAAGTTGAATCTTGGCTTCGTTGCAGTCTCCCATCCTGAGCAAGCACAGTGGAAGGAAAAACTCCCTTTTAAAAGGAAGAAACTGCCAGCAGAACCAGGCTCAGGACAAGTGGCCATCTGCTTTGACCGGTTGGTTGAGAGGACAGGAAGGAGAGACAGACGAACACAGAATGGTAGGACCAGGTGTATCTGAAAGACAAAAAACACATCCAAAAAAGTTCAATCTGGTCCTCTGGACATTCAAAAAACAAAAAACAAAACAAAGCAAAACAATATAGAAACGTTTCGTCTCTCATCCAAGAGACTTCCTCAGTCTGAGGTGCTGTTTTCAGCTCAGTCTCTTAAATAGCACCTACTCAGAGTGGATCAACCAGTTTGCTGCTGACAACCAAAACTAGCTGATCACATGCTCAAGAAGGACCATCAGCCTAACAATGGATCATTAGCACACTGATGGCTGTTTACTATTCACAGAGGGCTGAGTGATACTAGCAATCACAGCATTGTAAGAGGGTTGAACCCGGAGGCCTCCACCCCTGTTTAATGATGGACGATTTATTTTCACAAAGATGGCCTCCTTTACTCCTCTCTCAAACCATCGTTCCTCTCTATCCAGGATGTGAACATCTTCATCCCTGAAAGAGTGACCGCTGGCCTGGAGATGAGTGTAGACCGCAGAATCCCGGCCTGATGATGTTGATCTTCTGTGCTGGGCCATCCTTTTGGCCAGTGGCTGTTTAGTTTCCCCGATGTAAGACTGATCACAGCCCTCCTGACACTGAACAGCATACACAATATTACTCTGTTTGTGCCGGGGGACTGGATCTTTGGGATGAACCAGTCTTTGCCGTAATGTATTTTGGGGTTTAAAAGCCACTGGGACTGTGAGAGTAGCACTTGCTGCAGCTTCCAAGATGGCCGCCAATCACCCCCAGCTGACGGCCATCTCCCTGATGAGCTCCTGCTCCTATTTAAGCCTGCAGACAAGTCTACTCGACGCTGGAGCATTGAGTTCCCCCGGTACTTAATGTTTCTAGCCACTTAGTGTTTCATGGAATACAAGTCTTACCTTGTGGTCTTGTTTTTGCAGTTCTCCGTCGCCTCCTGAGTCCAGTCCTGTTTCCACGGGTTCCATCTCTCAGTACTCTCGTGCCTTGCTCAAGCTCTGATCTCTCGTGCCCATCCACTCAGTCTCTGGGAGTATTCATCCTGTTCTGAAGCCGCTGCACAGTGCTTCCATCTCACCATCTTCTCTGGAAACTCTGGGTACCTCTTGGATCAACTCCTACAAGAACCACCAACTGTAAGATAAGAAAGCTACTTGCAAGTTTATATCAAACAACTTACCTGCCCCAGTTGAACTTGTCCTCCGTTTCCAGGAGTTCCAGTCCTGATGCCTGTGCAGCCAGTCTATCACTGTAAATAAATAAACACTGTTATTTTTTACTCTGAGTCTCGTGTCGTTCCGGGTCTCGTTCGATTGGGTCACTCCTAAGATACCACAGAAATGCTCCAGCCATCTAAGACCCAGAACGAGGCCAGGAACGAGCCGGCCTCGCCACCCTCCCAAGAGGAACG